ATAATAAGTATAAATTTAAATCTTAATCAGCACACTATTAATATATAGGAGAGGTGTAATCGCATTTTATGCCAACTGAATCTACATCGCACCTTTGAAACATGCATAGCGTTAACCGTATTTCGCCAGACCCTCAATAATGTAGGCTGATTACCCTAAATAATGCAGCATTATCATTCGATCCGTCTCGTAATCATCCGATTAATCAATTATTAAATGCTAGCCGATAGTAAATGTTGCGGCCGCGTATTCACGAGGGAGCACGTCCATGCGTTCGATGTCGCGCGAAGCGTTTATCTAGTTTTGCAATTCGTCACTCGATACGCCATTTCGGCGTATGAGATGGTTTTCGCGAAATGAGGATGATACATCGTCGTGCCGTTACGTTAATATTTCACCGTCATCGCGAGATATCGATGAAATTCATTGAATTTCAAGCGTTAAAGAGTAAATTACGTTAATCTGACAAATAGCCCGCGTATCCGCCGACATGATTTTGAGCACATGTCAGACTACTTCCGATTCTGTTGATTACTAGCAATAAACTAGTACCAGTTGTTCGTTTAAGGAATACATGTTCATTGCTGTACGATAATTGACCGGTGACTGATGTAAAATGGTATGGTAAAATGCACGATTGTTCGTTTGATTAATTTCATACGAGATATATGAGCTAAAATTCTGCTACCATGAGGACCGATATATATCTACAATTTCATATTAAAAATTAGTAAAATAAATTTTTATTAATTGTTAGTAATAAAATTGAATGTGTCTCGTAGTATAATTTTAACTTATAATTTTAGCACTATAATTGTCCTTAAAAAGAATGTTAAGTGACAAAAACATACATTGTGTTTGCGTTTTCAGATAAAATATTGTTTTTAACTATATAAATATAATAAACAACGCGTGAAATTTTCAAAATCTAAGCTCAATATTTATAAATTCTAGTAATTAATAACAAAAAATGTATTTAAAAAATGCGTATACGCGCACGATACATATCTTGTTTTTGTATTATACTTGAGAAATGGTTTCAAATATAGCACGAAACGTTGAGGTTCCTGAAAGCTCGGAGATTTCTAGAGATAAAAGAAAACAAGTATAACCTACAGATCCGTATATGCTATTCCAGGCGACGAGCTATCTTAAAGTGCGGAAATTGAAAAATATATCGAAAGTTTGCCGATGTTTTTATGCAAATAATGCATTAGACTCCAAAGCTTGTAGCAACTGAAATAAGGTATGATTTAAAAGCATGTGATATACATATACAAAAAAAGATATGTGCACGTTTTTAATATCATTGAAATTGTCTCTCGTTATTAAAATTATTTGTATAAAACAAATAAAACTTTAATAAAAAATAAATAAATAAATAAACAGAACTCGCTTCCAGAAACAATTACATTTATTCGATTTTATCGTTTGTAACGGGTCTTTTATATAGATGTCATACTTGCAGTTCTAAGTAACATGCAAGCTAATTATATTTCCTTGCTTTTACATAGAGACGCGTTTGCAATTTCAAAATTGCGAGATGCAAACACGCGAGCGTTCGACCAACGTGCCACGTAGTTTCCGGCGAAAATCGATATAACCTTTTTCCTCTCTTTTTACAATCGCGTGTACTATCGTAGGAGGCACAATGAAACGATCACAGAGCCGTGTCTATGGACACTGGCGAAGCGTGAGCACGATCAAAAACTGAGCGTGCGTTTATGTAAAAAGCTTTAACGTCAGCTTGTTCACGGTAGCTCGTTACACGTTAATCTTTCCGCAGTAAATACGCCTGCTTTTTTCAGACCGTCCCCTTCCCTTCTTGCTGCAGATCCCCTCCAGCCACCACTCGCTTGCCTCTTTACATCCGCGATATTAGCTACGCAGGTCGGTCGCATGGAAAAAATGCTAATTTTCGTTGCAGACCTCACAACCGATCCCCCTCCCCCTCCCCCTCATCCCCCTGGCTCCCCTCACTATGGTCCTCCGCGCTGTTTTGCCCATCCGTGCCTCGTGTAGTGGCCATACGATATTACGCCGCCTCTTTATGACGGAATATCTAATACGCTTGTTCTCAACCTGAATACCGGAAGAGGACGAGAGAGAAAGAGAGGAAAAGTGAGAAAGAGGGGGCGACAGAAAGAATACGACAAAAAGGGTGAGACGACGATGGGAATAGTTTATAAACAACGCGAGGTGCCTTAATATCGAAAACAGGCTTTTCCGAAAAGCGATGACAAGGCATCCGTTACATGCGTGGCGCCAGATGCGCCCATCTTATTACGTATGAATGAAATTGCCCTCGCGCTTTTGTAATACGCCGGTAGCGTAAAGCGCAAGTCTCGGCGATTCAATTTTTAAAATTCCATTTCGTTTGCTATAGATGCATATAGTGCGTATAGGAATGAATGTGTTCGTGAGTGTGTTGCGAAAGCGCAAAAGGTTCGAGAAAAAAAAAAGTGTTGCGTCCCTCAATGGCTGAATATTTCTAAAGTCACACGTACTTCCAATTACACGTGCATTATTGCTTGCGCAATGTTCTATGTTTCGCCAATTATATATGTGTAGTATTTTGAAACACGACTCATGTCAATTAGCTATATTTAATTATAATATTATGATCATTGATTAAATAAAATTTTGAAGTTAATGAATTCAAAATACTAGATTTAATGTTTAACACGTTATTTGTTTATTCAATAAATTAATTAAATTATTAATAACATTTTACAAGAATCAATAACAATGTGTTAGTTTTCTTCTTAGTAACTTCAGAATGCAATGCTTTTATAATACTCGCAGATGCACAAAAGTTGTATTAAACGTTTACACAAGGAATTTTCTTCTCTCTCTCTCTCTCTCTCTCTCTCTCTCTCTCTCTCTCTAACTCTCTCTCTCTCTCTCTCATTACTTCCAACCGCAAATGCAACGAAGCGAAGCAAATTAACTTGGCGACCACGTTGACTATTCTAGACGTAGGCGAATTACTAACTAAAGTTGTTAACAAGAACGAAGGACAAAAATGTGAAGACAGGACTGGGCGTCAATTACGGATTACTAGTAAAAAATTACTCCCTAGTTTAACTCGGCTATTGTATAAATTAGAGACCGTAACTCGGCCTCGTACTTCTGCAACGCACTTGGCAAATGGGCCTCTTAAATCTGCGTCGTGCCTCAAGATTTACGCCTTGCGTGTACGTCGCACAAGCGAGCTAATCGCTCGTCGACAAACGTGCCAGCGCATTTTCCTGTGAAATAGTGCAACGCGATGATGCATTATCGAGCGCGGATGGCGTTTTCTCCGCTTCGACTACTTAATGGTAGAACGCCGTTTGAGCTCGATCATTCATGTGTGTTTCGTGTTAGCGTGGCGAAATGTACCTTTACATCAAGATACGTGAATTAATTATCACATCATACATTTACAAAGGAAGCTTCCAACATCGCTTAGAGATTCGACAGTTTGAACAATTTAAATAAAGATATGCGGAATAAATAAAATATGAGATATTCTATTTAATGCCTACTTCAATTAATATTTAAATTGGAAAAGTTTAAATTGTTTATTTCTATAATTTCTTATGTAGTACACTTTCTCAATTTCAATTTAAATCGTTGAAATAGATAAAAATATTTGTGATAAAAATTTAGAGAGTATTTATACACGTGGTTACAAGAAATTATAAGAATTTTTTTAACTTTCGTTGTATTCTTTTCTGGAAAATGTAGAAATGATAAATACATAAAGGCAAATTTTTTAAACTTTATAATTATTTTATAGTTCTAAACTATTGTATATATAAATTATATTTTTACTAACCATTTATATCAGTCATTTATAAAAGTTTATTCCAACTAATATTGAAAAATTGATTGTATTTTGTTATTGAAATCATTAGATTTGAATCAAAGAATTATAAGTAAAAATAGAAAATATCTTATAAAGATATGCAACCAATATATTTTTTATCTACTCATCATAATAAAAAATGCAAATAATTAAATTAGCAACAATCAAAAACTACTTCAATATGCAAAAGTGATTTTTAGGATAAACTCATCACTGACTGCATTACATATTATAATTAGTACTAATCGATATTAGTTATTGGCTTTGAATAATAAAGAAGAAGAAACCTCGTGTGGTTTATGATAAAAACGATTTTAGAGGTCACTTTCATTTTACACTCAATAATAAGTTTAAATTTCTTTTGCATAGTTTAATAATGGCAAAAAGATCATTAAAAACTCTAATAGTTTGATATTTTTCAATTTGTTTTAAATAATTAACTTAATTTTATATTTGACTATTTATGTATGTATTAAAAAATTAATTTCCTAACGCTTGAGTAGAATATGTACAATATATAAAAAACATTAAAATTACTTTTTTTTAAAGAGAAGGTCTAAACGAAATTGTGTATTTATATATATAAAATTATCAAATTTTGATTTGAATCGTACCTCTATTTCCACAATGCAGGTATTAATTTAATTTAGTTTATATAAATTGTTAAAAAAAAATCTTAATGAACAAGAGGGTAAAAGTTTGCAAATAAACACGTTCTGCGTGTGGCACGAACTACTCTTCGCGTACAGGCGTATAAATATCCCCCCGCCTCGAAGAAAGTTGTGGCGTGATCCGGTGTGATTTCTTTCGGCGGGAAGTTAACGTTCGCCGGAAATTACAAGCGACTTTATCCGATATATCACCACGGCACCGCGGCATGCTTCGGGTAAATAATAAAAATACATTATTCAACTCCCAACTTTATAACGAAGTGCTCCGAAGTTAGCGCGGCGTTTCGCTTTACTCCGACTCAGTCACTTTGCCTCTTTGTAAGCGACTTAACCAAGTTTTTGCAAACTATCCGTCGCCGCGTCGGCGTCACCCTCTTCACCCTCCCCCTTCCTCCGCAAAACGCCGCGAGTCGTTTCACGCGCATTGCCCGCGCAAAATATATTCTAGCTCTTGAGCTCATTTCCGTGATGCTTACCTAGCGTTGCGGGACAGCGAAGGGAACGAAGAAGCCTTGGTCCGAATCCAGTAGTTACGTGCCTCGCTGCGCAGTCCGATGCACTGGGTACACCACACACACGATTCGCGATCCCGAATTCGAACGCGAACGAAGAAATCGCGACGAGAAGAATTACGAATTCGATACGCGTACTCACTTTGATTGAAGGACGATAAGGCTTACACGCGGATGACAACATAAATAACCAAACAAACGATAACGGTCGGGCACTGTAACAGAAAAATAAACCATTGATTAAGTAAAAACACAGAAATGAAAGACAAGAAATAAAAGAAAAGATTACTTTCTTTCTGTAACACAGCTAATTAATTTTGAACAACTCCTCGTTACGTAAGTTTAAATAATTTTATTATTCTACTTAACTTTTCTTAAACCAACTTAGATTTAACTCTGCTAACAAAATATATTTTCTTAATAACATCGTATTTAAAATAAACTAAAATTATTGTATACCGACTTTAAATTCTAGCATAAACACACTGTCTCTCTCTCTCTCTCTCTCTCTCTCTCTCTCCTCACCCTGTTCTTCTTTACAATTCATGCATAAATAATTATTTCAATGCTCTTTATTATTTTAGAATTATAGACTATTAGTAAAAATATAAAAATGCTTTCAGTGAAACGCGATATAATGGTCCGATCTGATACAAAGCTTGATTTGATCTAGTATATAGTGTTTGACTCGATACCGTTGTCATACATTTCTATGATAAAAGGAACAATGGCATGTACCCCGCTCTGTTACCAAGCAACAGCGCTGTCGTCTCGGCCAATACGCTACCGCCGAGCAGAATGATAAGAGCAAATTTAATAAAATCATACCAGGCAGAGAGGGAGGGAGGAAAAAGGCCATACCAGAGCCTCTGTGTCTCTGATACTACTCGCAGCACTCGGAGAGGGACGTCTTCTTGAGATGAAACACGGCGGAAGAAAGAAAGGGCTTGTATACATCGAAGAGGGTCGTCCGCCCTCTGTCCTGTTGTAGGTGGCTAAATTTCGCGAGAATTCCACGAACGAAGATTGCAATAAGAGCCGGGGCAACTAGTGAATTTTTCATGCCGGCGAACGAGTAAGAAGCAGCTACCGCTTGCAGCCATGTATTTTTTATGTACATTCTATTTTTGCTTTCCTCTCCCCTCCCTTCATCCCCTCCGACTTCTATATCATTCTTCCTTCTACTACCTTTGCTCTCACCGTCCTTTCTCACCCTCTTTCCGGATCCTCTCCTCTTAGCTATGATCTTGGCTGTCCTCTACCGTCTTCCTCTCGCTCACGAAACTTGGGCATCGAAGGTAAAGGAAATTTAATTTAGAGCGCCCGAGGAAAAACGAAGGAGAACCAGCGAGAATCGTGGAGATGCAAAAATAAAGTTGTAAGGTCAAGCCAAGTTCTTTTATAACCGGTTGATTAAATTGCGAAAGAATAATTCAAGATAGAATGGCAGTGAATAGTCTTCAGCGCGAATGACGCAAGCGGCACGCGGCCGTTCGCAGATCGACGGAACTTTTCTAAACGAGCTTTCCTACTTCGTTTCGTGTCGGATAAACTCTTCGTAATCGAAACTTTAACATTCCTAAACATAATAAAATTTCGCGATAATAAATACAGAATAATAAGAGTATAATTAATACATTTTCAACAGAAAGGAATTGATTTTGTTCTCGATAAATGTTGCACGGATAATTGGAAATAACAAGATTCCATTAAATTCCGTTAAATTTATTTTGATGGAACTTTTTTTTAAACAGAACCAGGTTTTACAACAGTTTTATTTTTACATACATTTCTATATAAATCTAATAAAGGTAATCAATGCATTATTATTAAAGTAATAAATACAATTTGCTATGATAATCTACGCAACTATTGTCTCTAATAAATTAACAACTCTAAAATTATTGCATACAGTAAAAAAATTGTATGCCAACCATTTGTATTATTTCAGTTCCGTGCATCAGATTCTGAATAGGTAACATCGACGTATGGCATATTACGAAAATGGCACAAACAGGTGTTTAAAAAGGGTTAAAACGGAAAGTTAAAAAATACGTCGAAGAACGAGCGAACGGCAAAAGCGGAAAGGATAGAACTGAAGGAAGATAGGATTTGTGAATATTTCAGGCGTGCTAGGAAGGCGCAGGGAAACGGGTGGAGAGAGGATATTTTTCGAGGCGCCTTCGTAATTGGCGAGTTGAATCATTGATTAGTTGGCAGGCAGACGGTTTATGCCGGGCCTCTGCCATACCACCACTTCTACCAAACCCCCTATCTTCCCGACTGCCACCCTACCAGTCGGTGTAGAGGGTAAGACCTAATGTAGCCTAAGATATTACTCTGCCAGATTAAAACTCGCCAAGTGGCAGAAACGGCCGTTCTCGTAATAATGCAGAAATTTAATTAGTCGCCGACAACGTGTTTTCACACTTTCGCCATTCCGACGCGGACTTTTCCGGCCAAGCAAGCCCAATCGCGTAACAATTTCGTTAAATGATAATGAATCCTCTTGGCAAACATCGTCTTCATCCTTTATTGCATCGGCTTACAAGATCGCAACGCTTTTTTCGATAGAAAAGTTTCTTAAAAAAAGTTTACATAATATGAATCGCCTCAATAACAAAAATATAACTTACAAAACAGCTGGTTTCTTTAATTAGGAAATTTTGTAAATGTAATGACAGACTTCTAAGGGGATGTTATAAAATAGATTGTATTTTATTTTTCTGTAAAAATTATATAATGCTTACAACTTTTTTAATAGCAAACCAAAATGCTCTGGAAAAACAATAAACACATATTAACTAACAGATCTTTGTAGCAATCAATATATTAATTGACCTTTCTCAAGAAAGCTTACGAGGCAAAACGTCACGATGCTAACCTTGTAATCGCCCTGAGTACGATAACGAACCTGAGTACGATAACGAATTTGATAACGTTAAAATCCCGGAACTCGATAACCGCGTTATTCCAACGCGCGGTTCTTGCGGTCCCCAGCCGAGCCGCGAAAATATTATGTTACACCTCCGAGGAATCGGGGAAAAGTTTCGCGAGCGGCAGCGGCGGCGGCGGCGGCGGCGGCAGCGGTGGCGAACAAAATAAGATCCGGAAGAAAGTGGAGAGGCTGGTCGTGGCGTTCAAACGAGTTGCCAAGAAGTTTCATCGAAGAATGGAAACTCTCGTCGCCCATCGTCGAACGGGGCTCTACCACAACCCTCTTCTTCTCTCGACTTCATCCCATCGTACAACTAACCGCAACCCTTCGCCTAGTGCAACAATCCGCAACGCCCCTTCGTGGCCCCCCAATCGGACCGAAGTGCCACGAAATAAAACTTGTTTTCGACAGGCTGGGAATTTCATTTGCCTCCACTGTGCGTGTTCCCGCAAACGCACCAAGGACACGTCCGAGTCGCGATTCAATCAAATCGATCGGCCGTGTCTGATAGTGAATGCGCGTAGAACGTGTTGGAGAACATCGCAAAAATGGCTGTTCTTTTGGGGAATTATTTTATAGGATTACGTAACGGCTACGATAAGAGGGTGACCCATCGGAGGGTCTTACAAAAAGACGACACTATTACGTATTGAATTGTGAACAAGTCAATATATAATATCTATGGCATCGTCGATAGAAACGTATTTTATCTTAAAATGATCGAATTTTAAAATACCTTCCGGATAACTTCCGCATTACTTTCTATTTTTCATCCGTTTTGTTATATTTTATTTAGCTTTAAATTACTCATCACGTATTTGATAAATGTCATAAAATGAGAACAAGAAATGGTAATTTCATATGTTAATATTTTATAAAATCTTAAACATGTAATAAAATATGTGAATCAGACAAATTATTAAATTAATGAAATTAAAATTAATTCGTTGCCCTATATTCGAAATATCTAGATCTATCTAATAATTTATCTGCACTAGTATTTGCTCTTCCCCAATATTTCTATATTTCAAAATTTTACTTTATAAAAAATATAAATTAAATTTAATATTATCAGTTACTGTTGTCTAATTCTTATAGTTATTTTAATTTTTTAAATGAATTGTGAGTTATAAATTTAGTATATATATATATATCTGAATTAATTTTTTATTATCTCTTAACACTCTTCAAGTAATAAAAATTATTTTAATATAATTATTTCGATTCAATTTAAAAAAAAATTTATATAAATTACATTTTTAAAAAATATCATTTTTCGCGTATATTATTTTTTATTTATACCTAATTGTCTGCAATGATTTAATCAATAGTATCAATTCAAATACGTCATTAAATTCTACTTAAATTAGTTTTAATTCTAGCATGGATTTAGCATTATTAGACTCGTCAAATCGTAGTTATTTTATAATCATTGTCAATATAATTACATTAAAACGTCTAGACTCTTATCAGAATTTAACTTACACTTTACATATTGGCAGCATTTATTTGCTTTTACATTAGTACTTACGCAACAGAGGAAAACAAAAGCCAGAATGATATAATCGTATGCCCAGTACAGCTAAATATCTCAGTCGTTATGCGTCAAATTAACTGTCTACGTCAAATTCTGTATGATAGTATGATACTAATGGCACAGTAACACCAAATGAATTATTCAGAGATCCTACTAATATTGCCATATCGAACTAGTAAGCCGGCTAACCGGTAGTCTCTGGAGACTTTGAGATTTTGTATTAGCTCGCTCTGTAATACTGTTCGCCAATTATACGCAAATATTTAATGACAAGTTTACTAGGAAGAAGCTAATTCACGTCGATCAAACGCAACATCAATAGCGCCAACCAATCATTAATCGTTCACAGAGGTAAATTTTGCATTAGTAGTTGACTATTTATAGCCAAGCCTACGCCGTCAAACCTTTTTTATAATCAAGAATAAGAAATTTTTGAAAAGAACGTTTAATCTCGCCAAAATATTTTTAATAAATTATAAAAATGTTAAAAATTGAAAATAATCTAGTAAATACAGATATCTCACATTTAACAAACTGTGAGAGCATTCTATAAGTGAAAATAAGGAAAAAATGTTAATGAAGTTTGACTAGAAATACCTTATTGCAAAATTATAAAGAAATATTGAAATAGGACATTTTGGTAGAATATTTGCATTTTTATAGCAATTATTGTTTCAAGATAATTAAATTCTCTCAGCTATTCTTTTCAAGCGTAGCCATCTCATAGCTAAACGAATATCATATTTACGCATAGGTCGAAATGAACCGTTTAAAGATAGTAAATATGATAAAATAGTGAATATACATACGAGATAAACACGTTCAACTTCTCGGTACACGAAATGTATACTTTCATATGTTGCGCAATGGAAAATCTGTTATTTCTTATTTCATGTTTCATTTTAACGTTTGTACTTTGTAATAAAGCATTTCTATCCAAACTTTACAATTTTTCTTTATTTCTATTTGTATATAGAATATGATTCTGCAATTTGTCTGAATTCTGAAACATCTTGTACAAATGAATAAAAATAGAAGACAAGCGAAGATGGAGATAATGTGGAGACTATGGAGAGTATATTAAAAAGTAATTAATTCCAAATTTATTTTCATTATTAAAAGTTATATAGGTGGAACACTCACTTTGCAAAGTGCCTGTGTGCAAGTCCCTATAGACTAATTAAACTAACCCGACTTTTACGATGATAGCGGTGAACCAGAACGATGGACGAAGGTACGAGGTTGATTGATGAAAATAAAAATCAATTGGCTTAAGAACCTCTCGACTCGGAGAGAGAAATTAAGCGGATTTCGAACGCAATTAGTCTGGAACTAATTTAGAGTATCTAGACCATCCCACTGAACAGTCAATAATATTCTATGTTTCTAATGATTCGAAGTATTAAAAATTCAGTTATTTTATTATAATGTTATTTGGTAGTATTAATTTTACTAATCACGTCTTGCTAGCAATGTCAGACTATTCTTTAAAAATAATTCGAAATAATACTTAGGAGCCAATCAACATCAAATTTTGTCTCTTATTATATTTCATTTTCCAAAGAAATAATATTTAAATTTATTATATATTAAAGATTTTTATTTAAAAATATAATTAAATAAAATTATAAAATATAAACTTCTTATTTAATCTTCTGATTTGAAGCTTATTTTTTATTACAGTTAAGTTTTTATTACATTGATTTTTTTATGTTTTTCTTTGTATCTTATTTCAAAATGCAATTTTTAGGTAAATCGGAATATTAACAATATTAACAATTTATTGTCCTTATAAAATGTTGTTTGTGAACATTTTTATATGCACATTTGCAGCATGTTTATAATTAAAGCTTTTATAAAACGTTATTTAAATTCATACGAGAGACTATAAGATTAATAAAAAGAATAATTGATACATATGTTCAAATATAAAATGTTGATTATACATATAATGGGTATAAATCTATAAAGAGCTCAAATAAACAGATAAAATAAATATGTTAATATGTTATTAGCTAAATGCAGAAGATTCATGAAAAAAATTTGTTTGCACATATTCTGACTGCTTGATTGAAATAATTAGAGATTGCAAAGGCCTCATTAACGCTTCATACTAGAATATTGCATTCGCGAAAGAGGAATTAGCTTGATTGCCGCGAAATTCATCGAGGCATACCATTCAGTGAGAGCGGAAGATTCACCAAATTGGAATCGTGCATCAAAGCGTTAAAAGCTTAAGACGCGCGACGCATTGTTGACTGCAGCCGCGAAGCTTGACTTAAATGATCAGCTAATTAGACGCTAGAAATAACGCAAATGCTAGGATTATTGAGCTGCCAACATTTCAGTGCAGAGCGAATATTATCGTCATAGCTAAAATATGAGTATAAAATATTTATCTTAATAATAAATTATTAATAATATATATATAAAATAATTAATATTTAAAACATCTTTTATATTATAATATAATTAAGATAATATATATTCTGCTGCTGATATTGCGCGCAAAATCTATCTCTTAACTAATTATAATTTATTATTAAAAATTAAAAAGTTTGTTAAAATTAAATGCTAAATAATGTTAAAGATAATACATATTTATTAATGTAATAAATATGTATTATCATAATTTATTAACAATATAAAGAAAATATTTAAAATGTTACACATATATTTAGTGCTGTAAAATATATTACAACTTGCGCTTAAAGCGACTAAGATCGGTTGAAATCTGTTAATATCTTTAATAGGAATTTATGTTTCTTTTTATTTGTTCAATGTCATTTGTTTTATATTTTAACGGTCTTTCCCGGCTATTATTCGTAAGAGATTCGCAAAGCTAAAACCGGGGAGATAAATGCACGTATTCGTCCGCTGCATGGTTGGATAACAACGGCGAGAACGCAACGGTAATTAGTGGTGCACAATTCAGCGCACGGACGCTCCACACAAAACGACCCGTAATTTTATTCAGGTTGAAGTGATTAACGCTCGGTGACGCGTGGAATCGGCATCATTTTGCGCCAACTGTGCATAATGTCGAAATCGATAAACGCGCATTTAATCTATTGAAATAGTAACTTTGTAATATGTATTTCGGTCTTTGAACTATTAATAATAGCGCTTATATGTATAATAGCAAAATCCATTAATTACTGCATTAGAAATGGATTAAGTTGTCATTATGTTACTATATTTTTTATTTCTCTCTCGTTTCATTAAATATACTTTTTTAACTTGTGTAAAAGCGCAATAATGAAACAGAGAGAGAGAGAGAGAGAGAGAGAGAGAGAGAGAGAGAGAGAGAGAGAGAGAGATAGTTGCCTTTAATATTTATTTTATAATATTTACTTATAGAAATGAAAAAGTAAACTTATACAATTCAATTTTAGAATTATAATATAGAAAGAGATTTAATATTAAAGTTATATATAAAGTTAAATATGTCGAGAAAATATATATATCATTTTAAAGTTAATAGATTGAATCGGTAATGTGTGACGTTTTCCAGAAATAATTAAAATACGTCAGTAAAGTGAAAATGATATTTTCTCACGGAAGCGAAACCCTTAAACGCGTGTTGCTACAAATATCGGATTGTCGAAAACCGAGCGAGAAAAATGCGATGTTTTTTCGATTTACGTATGACTCGCGCTTTCCAAGACAATGACGAATGACCGCGAAAAATTTAGCCGAAGATTTCAATTGGAATCACGGTTCTTGTTGGACGTACCTTGTCACAAACAACCACAGCCTTTTCTGCTTTTCAATGCAGAAACGATGATGCGAAGTACACGCTCCTCCCCACAGACCGATGTAGTAGATATACGTAACTCGAGAGGAATTTTGAAATTGTGCCGAGACCGTCGATCAAAAAAAAAATATATAAAGACTAAAACATACAAAAAAACATAAAATAAAATATCACTTGAATTGATTTTGTCACATGGCTTGACCTATTAATGTCGAACGATATTTACCACTCGTGTCCCATGGTAACGGATGTCGGATAGTCTATCGACCACAAACCGTCACGAAATTGGCGTTACTCGATTGAACGAAAGTCGAAATTGTCTCATAATTATATTTGATTATTAAACACAATGTATGACGTAATTTGTATTTAACCCAGATATTTACTTTCAGATATTAAAACCGTCTGAATGTGATTGTATATTTTTTGAAATGTAAATATTCCTTTTCTAATTTAAGTATAGATCTAGACAGTCACATTTAGAAATACATGATAAAATCATGAATTTTTATTTATATAAAATTTATTGCAATTAAAATAGTATCTTTAATTTAGCACGTTTATATATAATATCGTTTTGAAAGAGTAAAACTTTAAGAAAAACTTTAAGAGAGAAAGAGAGAGAGAGAGAGGGGGGGGGAGGAGAGGGAATTTAAAAAAGCAAAATTACTTGAGAATCGATTTCAGAAAGCAAAAAATCCGAAGTTTTAACTACTAACTTTTCCACAACTCTCAATTTTCTTAATTCCTAATCATTTTAACTTACAACTCTCGAAACTTTCCGTTTTCACAATTCACAATTTTTCCAGTTTAAATTATCATAATTCACAATTATCCTAACTTTTGAATTGTTTTCACGTACTTTACTCGTCCGTCATTTTTGAAAACTAAATTGATGAAAACTAAATTTTTATATTAAATTTGCATAAAATATGTTTGTATAAGTAAAGCTTTCTTGCATAACTAAATCTAAACTGAGTTTACTTGGTACGTGTCTTATTATTAGTAAACATCAAACAGAAAATGATAGCAAAATATAACTTTCACGCAATTAAAATTATATCGTAAAATCACTCAAAATAACGAATTTGTGCATAAAATATAAGAATATCGCCAAATAAGGAAAGATTTGAAAATATTTTCAAATGTCAATTTGTAAAACGACTACGAATGTTAATAAAAATAAACAGAATGTAATAATCGCATTATCTCTCTGACGATCGTGTTATTCAACTTAAAATAAGAATACGTAATAAGAATACGTAATAAATCCTTAACGCGCATTTATGAGATTTACTTCGTTAGGACATTCTGTCAGCATAAAAGTCTCTTATTATGATAAAGTAAGTATATACAATATATGCATAATGTAATGTAACATCGATGGCAATGAGATTGGAAGCGAGCTCGGAGAAGCGAAATGCTGTAAAATCGATTTAATTATTGCTACGCGCCGAAACCCTTCGAGCAAGTTACTGCGCTTTTCCACTGAATCTCATTTCCTATGTTGAACGAATTGTCTGGAAAAGAACGATTCGACGTATTGATCGCGCAAATTATAGCGTCATTTATTGCATGCCTCGTTTGCAATTGAGTCTAGTATCAATAATCCATGAATTTTAGGGAAAACATGAATGCGCACAAGCAAAGTTGCTGGAGAGAGAGAGAAAGAGAGAAAGAGAGAGAGAGAAATTATATTTAAATATAATATAATAAGAATTGTTTAATATAATAAATGTAATAAGAATTGTATACATATTGTATACATTATATTTAAATATAATTCTTTTCATATTTAATATCAATCTCATGTAATTTATTTTTGAATAATCCTTTTTATCTGTTATCAATTTAAAAATACAGAAACTTACCTACGTATTATTAGAAAAGTTTTCATTATTATGTTTTGCAATAATGCTAAAAAAGATAGTATTTTGTAAACAGTAGAAGATAGTATTTTAGATAGATTTTTAATATTTTCAGTAATAATACATTTAAAAAAATGAAAGTTTATAGCAATTACACATATTAATTTATGGCCATTAAAGATAAAATCAGTTGTTCCCTATTATATTAATCTAATTTATTCAAATTGATCTGAAACATACTAAAAAGGGCATTTAATGAATTTTTATACATTCTGTTAAAATGAGTGAAGAGACTATTAATGCTTAAGGTCAAGAACAATAAATTTTAATTAAAAAAAAGAGAAAATAATAAAGAGCATTATAAGAAAATCATACTTATAAGAGATATGTTTCAATATATGCAAATAAAACGAAAAACATCCCAAAATACTGTCATAAATATCAAAACAGACTTTCGTTTCTCCATACTCACTCTGACATTTTCCCCGTGGCGTATTTTACGCGGATTCGATTCGCTCGTAAAAATCGTGGCTTACACGTACAACAGAGCATGTAACGATCGCCTATAACAATGATATGCGCCGGCGTAACACGCGCACAATACGTGACAAGCAAGTGAACCGCAGCCAGAGCGCAATTCGATCCAATTAAGACCACCGTGTACGCCGTCTATTCGATGTTTCTTTCCTCCCCTTGCTATGCAAATCCATCAATAACCCCGGAGCTATGGTCAGATTAGGTTGGAACGGTCAGTCTGCGAAATCGCTGGCAGATGGGGCCCTTTAACTTTCGAAAACGCGCTATATCAGAGCCAATTTCCTCTATCTCTCTTTCTCTCTCCCTCTCTCTTCTTCCTGTATATACACTCCCCCCCCCTCTCTCTCTCTCTCTATCTTCCTCGCACCTTCCTACTCTCCGGCGAGTTACCAGAATCTCGCCCGCAGCAAGCGTTTTACCAAGCATAAGCGTTTGCATAACCCAAGATTGACTTTAAGTTCGCTAACCACCCGCACCATCGCATAAGCGAACTTCGAAGCGCGACGACGTGCGCCTTGCGAGGAGAGCGCACATTAAGCCGCAACTAAGCGCAAACCCTTCCGTCCGTGGGGACGGCGGGGAGGGGGAGGGGGAGGGAGGGGGA